GTTACTTTAAAGCAAAAACATCTATTGATTCTGTCTCTTCTACATCCAACTCACAAGTTTACCATTGCTTTGAGAAAAAAGATTATTAATTGACCCCTGAGACAAACAGATCTTGAAGAGTGTTTTATTCCTTGAAAAACCGGGCTTGAAAGTGTTCAACCACAAGTTCTGAGTGGAAACAAAGTCCATGATGAGTAGATTCTCTCTGGAGGAATAAATCTGAATAATTAGATGGTAAATGTCACCTCAGCTCCGATGGCGGTGAGGGTCTCGATGAGCACGGCGGTCTGCAGGGTCATGTGGAGGCAGCCAGCGATGCGGGCGCCCTTCAGCGGCTTGGACTGACCGTACATCTCCTTCATCTTCATCAGACCCGGCATCTCGTTCTCTGCGATGTCGATAGCCTTACGCCCCCAGTCGGCCAGGCTGATGTCAGCTGAGACGGGAAAAAAGGACGTCAAAACACAAGATACCAGTATACCAAAAGCGATACCAAAGCTTATTCATCCTGCACTCAAGATTACAAGGTTTTTTTTGTCATATTATAAAAGCTACAGTGTAGTTGATGGCAATGAGAATATGAAGTCCCATGCCCTGCCAAAAATGCAACCTTAAACGTATGAAATAAAGAAATAACGAAGGGTACAAGTAAGCAGATCTGTCACCTCAAGCTTATTTCAGACGTAATTTCTTTATAAATCAGCTTTGGATTTATTTATTTTTTAAAGAACATGATATTATTCCAATTGAATGTCAAGAACAGTATAATAATAATAATACAATTTATCCCTATGAAACAACTAAAGGGTTTTCTGATCAATATCAAATGTTTTATTTTAAAATCAATAATATAATATAAATGGTTACAAAGGACACTCAACATGTCCATATTTGTTGCAGACTTGGATCAAAAAGATTTTTAAGAGACACAGCATGGAACAGATTCATCTTATGTCCTTCTGCTTTTCTTAAATCTCTTCCTGAAAACTAATCACGATTTGGAATATTGCTCTTCTACAAATAATGAAGTCTTGACAAAACCCAATACATTTCAAGTTATCAGCAAAACTATTTTTTTTCCCGAAGCATGAAAAATAAATAGTCATTTATTTGGTATGTGGCGTAGCTTGATATATGTCTCAGCAGTGACATGAGTCCAGAAATTAGCGTCATCTTTGAACGTGTGAGAATATAATGGTTTCCCTGCTAACCAAGTTGCTGCTGTCCTGGGAAAGTCCACACAGCCCCAGCTGTCCCTGTACACTCACTGCTCTCCTTTCAAACAGCTGCTACTGCACATGTACACTTTTGTGTTTTCCAAGAGCTGTAGTAGAAATGATTGTTTTGAAGCTTTCTTTAAGTGTAATCCTAATTAAATGCAACTTTACACACATTTTATCCTAAAGTAATGTTACCTTTGACATGACTTTGATGCTAAACTGAAATGTATTTATTCTTTGAGAAAACATGTGTCTTAGAATTCTGATGAGGTGTGTTGTTACTGCAGGAGGTTGAAGACAAACAAATTCCAAAGGGGCTTTTACAATATTAGTGTATAGCTTCATGATGAAGGTCATGGAGTGCAACACACCCTCCTCCTCCTCAACCACATGCTGCAGCCTGTGCAAAATCCTTATACAAACACAGTCGATGGCGCAAACTGAGTCTGGGGTAACTGCACCAAACCGGCACTGGCCTGAATGACCGGCCAGATACAGGATTAGTAACCCAAGTTCACCCCCAGGTCATGTGGAGTGACTTAACTAAACTTTAGCTACCATCATCAGGTGTGAATCATTGGGTGGTTCTGTGTAGCAATTAGGGAAGGGAATTTGAAAGCAAATGTATATTCGAATATTCGACCTCCCAAAAAACGGTTAACCGAAATGTACATATCCTATATAAAAAAAAAAATTCTAACATTGTTTTTCCAAACTTTTGGAAAAAAATAAATGCGTGTTCAAATAAGTATAGAAACCAAGTCGAATTTGTCAAATGTATTGAACTGGTGATCACAGTTTGACAGCTATAGGCCTACAGCTTTCATGTGCGGAGGCGATTCACAATCAGCCCAGCTGTAGAGAAGACCCTCTCAGCTGGAACGGAGGTTGCGGGTATAGCAAGGTATAGTATGTATATAAGTTTAATTTGGCAGTTTGCAATCTACACCGCACTTACTAACCTGGTCGAAATATTTCCACACATTACTCCTTTTTGACGCCATGTCTGTTGTGTAGGACTCTTCTTAGAGTGTAAATAATTACCGGACTATGACTGGTAAAATATGTTGAATACCGGCAAAACTAAATCTCTCCTGTCAAAATGTCTATGTACTTTGCCGCCACACACGGTTGCCAAGCAGCGCTTATTGTTGTTTAGGCTGGCCACTCATGTGCTGCGAGTGTTGACAGGGGGCGAGGGAGCGCGCTCATGAACTGTTAGCGCCGGAACGCAAAGGCTGCGGAGCACATTTGCGCCACATTTGGGCATAAGATGAGATTTGAGTCTGCGTGATCTGCGTGTAGGGAGGGGCAGCAGCCATATATCATTAGCTAGAACTAGCTAGATCTGAGGGATTTGGACATAAACGCGAGTGAAGTATAACCGGACGCGAGAGAGAGACCAGAACCTGCAGCTCTGCCCGCTGTGAGGGACCGGTGAGCGGAGCAAAACACACCTTTAGACGTCACCTAACACATTTAGCTATGGCACTGTCGTATTCATTTAATTATTCAATTTGATAATATGTAATCAACAAAAAAAAAAAAAAAATGTAATAACTCATTCGAATAATTATTCAAATACCTGAATAATTATTCGAATACCTGAATATTCGATTAATCATTCCCATCCCTAGTAGCAATAAAAGCCGAGTAGGGCAACAATATTCGCAGGAATGTTGGTTCAAAACCCACCCTAAGCCATCTATAAACAGAACAGTAATAGCATTTAAAGTGCAAGTATCCTGGCACATGTGCCTTAATAACTGAACTTTTCTATGTGCTCAGAGTTCAAATAAGTTCAGTTATTTGAAAAGAAAAAGCCAGAATTTTTTAAATGTTAAATAATCAATTAAAGTATTATCGTATAAAAAGTGCAGAAAATAAAAATTGTAATACCAACTATTACAGCTCTAATGAAATAACACACTCCAGCAATGAGTGCCCTCCACCCCCTCCTTAATCCTCAGAAAAGTACAAAATGTACATTTCGATGGCCATGGGACAATGCTTGGTCTACAGATAAAATGTTTGAATTAAAAAGAGATATTGCATCAATTGACCACTTAGGACTTGACTAACAGTCACTGAGGAACTGGTTGACTCTTGACTGAATGTAGTCAGTAGAGAGTGTTTAGACTTTGCCCCAGGCTTATCTGTGAACAGGACATTGTGCAACTGCATCTGCTTCTAACCAGCTGCTTCAGGCCAACAAGTGTCAAGTTTGACACTCACTGAGTGCGGTTACAACTACTGGAGATTTTAATGTATAATAACTAACATTATCTCCCATTGTACATACATTACCAGGTTTTCCCAAATGTAATATTAAAAAGTATATGGTGCATTATTTCCCTATGCACTGCTACCTTGAATTTGATTTCTTTGTTTCTCATCGTATGCAGTGCTTCTCCATTTCTGGGGCCAAATGAACATACTGGCAAATCAAAGAAGATTGTTGTAACTCATCAAATAAAGAACGGCAACTAAACACTTTTGAATAACAAAGAGTTCAAAAAGAAAGAAAATTGCAAGTAATTAAACATAAGAAAAAACCGATGTTCAAAAGTGACAATTCGAGACAATATTTATTTTTAAACCATTTAGCTCGTAAAGCGGCTACACAGTAGCACCACGTGTAGTCCCAGTTTACAGTGCAGATCAGTCTCTGCCTGCTGCTGTCACTCATGCACAAACTGGCGGCGGGTTGCAATGCTTCACGGGAAGTGAAGTTTGCAAACACAGCCATGGCATTACGGAGATACCCAAATAAACTACAATATCCAGAGACTGGACGTCGTTTCTGTTCACAGAGAAAAGCATGCTCGGCGGTAGTACGACGGTCTCATTTCTATTCATTCTCAGATTTAAACAAACTGTGAATAATGAGTATAGAACATGGAAAAGAACATGCTAGAATCTAATAGACGAATAACAAAATGATGATAAGCACGCTAAAAGAAAACATAATTGAACACATGCCATCAGGTTATGGCTAGCAATAACAAAGGCAGGAACTAACTACAACCTAAGCCATGTAATAATAAAACCGTTTTAAACCTCCAATTGTTTTTCGTCTAACGATTAGATTTTTATGCTCAAACGGGCTGCTAGACATGCACGGAACCACAAAGTTCACAACAAGCTAGCTAGCTAACCATACGTGTTACCAAACGAAACATATGATTAGTAGGTTTAAATAAAATCAATAAAACTGACACTTACCAACTTTGTAGTTAAGTTTGTCAGACATGGTTGTTTTCTGGTGTGTTGTTTTGGGTAGGTTTAGTGCAGCCTTGCCGACGAAAAGAGTCAGAGAGGGAGGGAACGACACATGACCGCTCTCTTTTTATGTCGAGGGAGGCCACATTCAAACCGGCTAACGCGAGGGGACGGCTCGAACCCGGGTCTATTCTTGATTCCTATTGGCTGTTGAAGCTCCCGCCCCGCGTGTCAGAGATGTTATTGGATGACGGTGTATTTAGGAAAGACAGCCAATCATATCTCGAGTTGTAGTGTGGGGCGTGACTGCTGGAATCTGGTACAATTTGTGTCTGTCTTTTATTTTAAACAGATTAGGCAAACGTTACATTAGGCAAACATTAGGCAAGTAAAACTAATCCTCACTCTAGGCCTAATTTTTTACGAATTTCAAGAAAGAAATATTTTCATGAAGATTAAAAAATGTACAAATATTTTCGTGTATGCTTTGATGTATTAGTATTTATAAAGATATTAATGAGGAATGCATCAATGCATGGTATTACAGTAAAGATGCAACGTTAAAAACAGACACTGTTTTGTACTTCTATGTACTAATAATAGCCTCAACTCTAACCTGGCCTTTGCTCCACACTGGACCCTGTCTCAGTTTCCCTGAGGGTCCTCACACTCATTCTTTCACAACAACATTTAATATGCACTCTTAATACTTACACTAAAATAAACTGATGTGGGTTTTCGGAAGCAGTGCACAGGATTATTTCCATCATTATCAGTGGCTTTACACACTAAAAACCCTTCACTAAATGCAGAGGAAAGTGTTTGTTGGATTTATTTTGAGCAGTGGTCGAATGTAAGAACATTTACTCAAGTATGGTACTTAAGTACAAATATGAGGTACTTGTACATGACTTCTAAATTCATTTAATACAACTCTATGCTTCCACTCCACTATGTTTTAAAAGCCAATATTCAGTTTTTTACTGCACTTCATTTATCTGACAGCTGTACTTTACAGATTCAGATTATTAGCTAATACAATACATCTACTAATACATTTGTACTTCTGCTTAAAAGTAAGAGTTGGAGTACTTTTACTTGTAACAGAGTATTTCTACAATTTACTTTTGCTACAAGTAAAACAATACACCTCTGATTTTTTTTTATGAAATACTGTCATGTAGACACTATATTTAATGTGAAATTCACAAAACGGTTGACATGCAATGCGTAAAGATTTCTAACTGAACAGTTTTATTTGTTTATCTTAGGGCTGGGCAATATTACAATATTATATCCATATGGTTAGAGACTAAAGAGATATTAATGTAGGGGTCTTTGATTAGATAAATTTTATTTTTTCCATATTGCACAGCCCTACTTTGTATGAACTTAATGTTAAATAAATACAAGTCAACACATCGCTTTTTCTTGACTCTGAAGAGGAACTAGTCATTTTTACATTTTCTTGAGTAAACATTTGAACTCACACATTTACTCCTCAAGTAGTATTTGCATACCTTTTCTCAACACACATAAGCATACACAAATATGCACTGTACAAGAAGAAGCAGAGCTGCATTTAAATCGTAAAGAAGAGTAAATATCACCAGTAGAGTAGCAGTAATTAAACAAATTAAAAGGAATTGGTTAAACTGGTCTTGATAATACATTTGTTAATAACTTTATGAACTCAAAAAGGTAGGATATTGTGAATGAAAAACATGAAATGGAAACAATAACCACAAGAATTAGAAATAAAGTGTATATATTTGAAGAACAATGGGGAAAATGGCTGAGATAACGAACACACACATAATCATTCGTGAGAAATAATTATGTATCCATTATCTGTGAATGATTTCAGATTCATTTCAGTTTATCATTCTCTTAACCTTTTTCTCCTTCTGCTTTCCCTTACATTTGTTGATTGTCATTTTATAATGTTTAACTGTACAGTATTTTATTGTGTTTGCATTATAATAACATTATGTCTTCAAAAAAATAAAGGAATAATGTAACTGGTGTAGCTAAACAATAAAACATGGCTGACTTAAACAATAATGTTTCTGGTTCCCTATTTCCTGGAGTGTTTGTCAGAAAGGAGGTCACTGATATGAGACAGCTCATGAACAAGTTCTATCCAAACATCTGAATATAATTGCTGCTATTTCTGTGAAGCCTAAGTTGTATTAGAGATAAGATAAGATACAAATGTAAACAGAGATAAAACTCCTTAACCACACCAGGGAAGTTAAAGGTGTCAGAGTGAGTGAAACAGGACAGGTTAGGGTTCACACAAGATTAACAAAAACAAAACATAAGTAAGTAACGTAAGTGAGAGTCAAATAAAAATAACATCAGTAAAAAAGGTAAAGCTGTAGCAATGAGGCAGGGAGCGAAAGCATGGCGTTGAAGGGGCTATACTGAAACAACTGGTAGAAACATTATACTTGAGAGTGCTATATTTAGGAGCAAGTTTAAAGTGGTTTACTACAGCATAGTGTCACCCTATATCTCTCCAAGTTAAAGGTCAAATGATGTTTATCACCCAGAGGCAGCAGGGAGGGAAGTGAGGTCTACAAAACGAACCGTTGTCACCAAATAGCTGCAGTTCCATTGCTTAACTGTTGAAGTACATAACATACAGGTTTTGGGGAGTAACAGGTTACATGACACAAGAGGTTACGTGTCATGTAACCTCTTGCATAACGACCCACTTCAGAATCATATAAAGTACAGTATTATAAGCTAAATGTACTTCAAGTATCAAAGTAAAAGTAATCATTCTGCAGGATGGATATCTTCACAGTATTATATTATCCAGTTTGTATCACTGACAAATACATCTAAGAGCATTTAAGCATTAATACTTAAAATACTCTACTTTGTAGATTAGTAGTACAGTACTGCAAATACAATATCAGCATATCATGCATTTTTATATTTACAAAGTATAGTGACAGCAAGTGTTAAAATAAATGTAGTGCAGTAAAAAGTATATTTGCCTCTGAAAGGGAGTGAAGTAGAAATATAAAGTTGCTAAATATCTTCTTTTCTAATGTCACATTTTTCTGTTGTTTTACATAAAACCCTTCAGTTAAAAACATCTTATTGATATTTTTGTATCGCATTTGACATTGAGGTAATCCAAAGGTTAGGTAAAGTTATCTTACTTTTATATTGTGATACTCAGATTAAGTTATACTTTTGGTAACTAGCAGTTGTAACACAATAGATGTTTTAAATAACCCTCCTAACCCTGGTAGGAGTGAGGTTTTTAGGGTTATGATGTGAAGTTTACAGACATCGAGTCTCTGGGGAAGAGCCACAGTGGTTTGGAGCTGAACACAAACTAAAGAAACTCCATGCTGCTGAATCAACTCCTCATCATGACCTACACCCAAAACATCCTTACATCACACATACATTCTGAGGATAGCTGTATGAGGCTCAGCAGCCCTGGAGAAGTTGGAGGAAATTCACAAAAACTGTCAAACATGTCAGATCATGTTTTTGAAAGAAACTAGGAACTGTAGTGCATACTGTATTACGAGTTTGCTTCCTTCTGAAATTGTATAAAGCAAATATTAGAGAGGAAGGGCATTTCAGTCTCCCTGTTTGAAACACACAGTCAGAGATATTGATAAGAAAGTTTACTTTGACTTGACTATTCATTTTGAATTTGCCTCGGGACTACAGGGCTATAAGCATTTTCGCTAACACTGGTATTTTAACTAAACGTATTCTTTGGGTTCACTAATGTGCTCTGTAGGCCTACCTGTCAAATAAAAAAATATAAAGTAGCATAAAATTGAAATGCTTAAATTCCAGTTCAGTAGCCTACTTGAGATGAGGTGATCATGAGAAAGACTAAATGTTTCATCAACGTACACTTTTAAATATCCAGAGCCAGATTCCTGATGATTGAAAAAGCCATGAAAGGCAAACTTATTTCTGACAGAATAGAAAAAAAGTGCCCAAACTTGCACCAAATCCCAACTTTATTAACATAAACTGTATACAACCCGTCATAAAGCAACATGGCCGCCACACGGAAAAAATCTCCGGTCTTTTCACGCTGTGTTTCTGTCGACAGAACATGAGTGTTTTTAGTTAATGGGAAAAAATGGAAAAAGGAGTTTATTGGCATATGCAAGATTCATCTTTCAATAGTTATAATTAAATATCAGGACTGGGGTCGACCTAATGACAAATAAGGTGATTTTGCGTAACAGAAATGTGTTTTGAATAGCTTTTTCTTTTACAAAGACGTGTTTAAATTTCAGTCTAAACCGTCTTTTTTTATTTGGACTGACCCCGATCCATGACCGTGCGTTGACAGACGGAAGGGCAGCCATGAGAAAAGGGGAAGTGAGCAGAAGTTTTATGACGAGACAAATATGTAGTCTCAGCGTTTGAATCCTTTTTACTCCACAGGTGAGCCAAGAGCAGATTGAAGACAAACATCCAGCCCAGCGTCTCAGTTTGACTAAGTATTCACAAGAGGTCACTGTGTCAAAAGGCTAAAAAACACCACACACACTCACACATTATCTTCAAATTCAACCAATGTAGGATTTTCTCAGAGAGCATCACAGTGACAGACGAGGCGTGGAGAGTGTCATGTTCCCTCTGGCAGCCATATTGAAGGGACACAAACAAGTGGAACAGCGGAAGCAAAAGTACTCCGATCCTCGTACCACAATCTACAAATACTCAAAAAAAACCTGCTCGCACAATTGTCCTTTTTGAAATGTTAAGTACCTAATATTTTCAATTATTGGAGGAACATGAGACTTTATATTGATATGCTAAAACTACACTGTAGCTATTGTGCATATGACAAATAAAGCCTTGAATTCTTTGAGAAGTGAAAATAGGGGAGTAAGTGTACAATGTTTCCTACCTTCTGATATATAGTGGAGTATAAGTAAACAGAAGCATAACATGGAGATTACTTAATTAAAGTACAAGTTCTTCCAAATCTTACTCTGCAATTTTCAGTGTCAATTGACAGTTTGTTACGCGAAAGATTATCCAAAACATTTACAGTAAAGTAGAAGAATCGCAAAGTGACACTCTAGTACAGTACTGCAAGTAACAATCCACCACTGTAACAATTCATTCAGTTAATTAAACAGTACATTAGAATGCTAGCCTAGGGCTAAATATCACTAATGGACAGAAAATCACTTTATCATGTACTGTACAATTTTAGGGTATCTGAGTATTTTCCTTTTATGCTACTTTATACTTCTACTCCATTACATTTTGGAAAGCAATAAAGTACTTTTTACTCCACTACCTTTATCTGAGAGCCATTGTAGATTCAGATTCATAGCTAATATTAAATATAAATCAGCTAATGAATAAACATGGACATATAATCATGGGTTAAGTTATCCAGCAGAGGATATACAATCATTAAATGAGCATAAGAATATATGGAGGCCAATACTTTTGCACTTCTACTTAGGAATTTAATTGCAGGACTTTGGAAACTGAGTATGTTTACCATTTAGTATTGCTACATTGACTTAAGCAAAGCAGTTTGATTACATCTTCCACTCCTGGTGATAGGTGGTTCTTATGGGATCTCTATAATTGAACATTTGGGAATTGTAGCTGTTAGCATTTGATTTCCAAAAAGAAACCTTATGATGATTAAACAGTTGCCTTGTTACATTTTCAATAAAGTAAGCCCATGTAAATGTTTTCCATTCACATGACATTAATGAATTTAACTGATTAGATCCAGAGTTAGCTATGAGAGACTAAGCATTGCCTGCGGACCCTTCAGAAGGAGATATGGCAGACAGAGGGATCAAACCCCCGATCCTCTCTTTACAAGATGTTTCCACTGCTGTAACATCCATTTTTGAATGAGAAAGTCCTACATATCATTCATATTTTATTTTGCTGCTGCAGACATTTAGCAGCTATAGATGAGGGGTTGTCGTCATTGTTTTAGAAGAGCAGAGAGATGACAACGCAGGAAGCAGAAAAATGGCTGAATCATGATCTGTTTTTTCTTTTTTTTTTCTCCCCTTACACATCTGTTTATTCTTCACATTCCTCTCAGAAACTCGTCCTCCACACACCCGTCACCTATAGTATGCACTTGTTACACAAAGTGCACATTCATGTACTCAAAAATAAGAGAGCGATATACATCACCACAGGCTTGGAGGGCATTTGTTTGGCGACTCTATGCCCTTTAAGGAGTGCACAGCTGGAGCAAAGAGATCACATTAATGAGAGGAGAAAAGCCTGGGTTCATTTCGTAAAGTCAGTGTACAAGTGCATACTTTGGGTTGGGGTCTGTTTTAGATATATGCACGTAGGCTACGCAGAGTCCCTGCCTCTCTTCCAGATGGAAGCAGCCTTCACACAGACAGGAGAGGGGCATTAGCTAGCTAGCAGGGCGAGCTAGCTTAGTTAGCCGCCCACGCCTCCAGATCCGCCATGTCGTCCTCGTCTTCTTCCACCTTCTTCTTGTCTAAAAACAGGAGCAAACGGAAATAAACCTCAGATTTAATAATGTTATTCATAATCAGAACATTTGATTTATCCTTGGGGAAATTGGGTTTCGAAACAGTTGCTCCATTTTAGAACAAAATAAATGTTTAATTAAAACAAAAATATAATTAAAACATTTATAAAAATAAGGAAGTTAAAATACATGGTCTAATAAAAGGATTAAATAACATTAAATAGAATACAAATATTTATATAAATATTTGAAGTTAAAACCGAACATGCATTCAAAAGATTAAAAAAAGAACATAAAGGTGTTTATATAAACACAAGAAGTTAAAGTAAAATGTCAAATATAAGGATAAAATAAAATATACAATATATGATATGGAAGCTCATCTTTAAAAAAATAACTAATTAAATAACAAATTCTGATGAATTGTGCGGCCCTAATATGTAACATGTATATCGTAATAAACGCTTTAGTGGTGTATAAATATGAATAAGATATAAATGCTGAATTGCTCGGTTTGAAAAGGTTTGGCTAATGATGATTGTGTAGATATGTGTGCTGTTTGTGTGACTATGACATAGACTTTTTACTTATAATAATACCTGGTCTCGATGGTAGTGATGTAGATGGTACGCTGGGTAGAGGAACGTCTTCTGTTCCTTGGATTTCCAGAAGATTTTTGTCCAGCTCTTCCTGTTCCAGCTCATCCAGCTCAGCCATAAGCTCGTCCTGAACACACACAAAAACGAGTTATCAATTAACCAACCACAGACAAAGACTAGTTTATTTTATAATAAAAGACACACTTCTTTTTATCCATTTGATCTTAATGCCAGCAGCTGTAACTACAATGGGCGCTTCACACCGCAGTACTTTTCCCACTTTAGTTCCGATATAGTTCCGAAATGTTGCGTTCACACCAAAAAGATCCGGAAAAAAAATTAGTTAATCAGAACCTTTTTTACCCCCTTTTCCATCCCTGCTAGAGAACAGGGACTTTCGTGGGAGAAAAAGGTTCCTATTTCTGATTGGCTGGGCGGATACTGAAGCCAGTCCCCAACTCCGGGGACTTCCGGCCGGGGACTTCGGGTGGCAGTATACGCCGTGAAGTTGTTTGCAGCCTGCTAGTAAACCCAAAGCAGAAGAAGAATAAGTGACTTCAGCGGCTTCATTTGCCTAATCTTCCCTCAGGGACTTACGGTACGTCCACACAGCAGCTTTGAAAAAATCTTGAAAATCTTGGAGCTGGGCGTGTCTGAGAGCTTGGGGATTTTTTGCGGGCAACGCGACCAACAACCAATCACATGAATCTCCCGCCCCCGACATACAAAGCAAAAAACCCCGGGGATTTTATGCGAGCAATATTATAATAAATAACCCACAAACACGCAAAAACTACCAGTTTCACCCACTGTCTCTGCCAGCTCCCTCCATGCCTGGTTCCTCCGGTTTGTATCCCGGTAAATAGTTCTGGTCGTAAAGAACCGGGTGATTTGCTACCGTAATTTCCCGTTTGGAATATGATTGGCTAGCGCTTGTACTGTCAGATTTGCATAAACGGGATTTGATTGGCTGACGCTTCCAGCTCAGCTTCAAAAGTTGAACATTGCTCAACTTTTGAATCCTGAAAATCCTGGAAATCTTCGCTTTGCTTCCCCACAATGCAGTTCGGCAAAAAGCGAGGCAAAGTGACGTCACTCCCATTCAAATTCAATGGGCAGAGAAGCGTTGGAAGCGTTGGAAGATTTTTTTAAAGTTGCTGTGTGGACGTACCGTTCCGGTGTGAACGCGATCTGTACTTAGTTCATGAGAACTAAAGAGTTCTCATGAACCTTTGTGGGAAAAGCACTGCGGTGTGAAAGCGCCTGATAGTTTATACATTTATGGAGACATGCTAAATCCTGGTGATATTCTTAAATATTGATGAAAGTTGAGGAGGGCCTCCAAAAAGGCACATATTCACGCAATATTACATTTTCCCTTTATTGATGTGTCAACAAGTCAAGTCCATTTGGTCAGTAAATTCTGAAAATATAAAATGTTTCTGCTCTTTCTTATGTTGCAATTACTTATTTACTTTGTCTTTTAGTAAAACATAGATTTGTTCACTACTGTCATGAAGAATAGAGCTGTGGTAGATTATTTGAGTCGGGTTCCTGATTTCCGGGGATGTTCTCACCTCGTCAAACTCATCCCCGAAACCGATCGGTCTGGAAATGACATCTGAGATTTCTTGAGCTACTTCCTGTTGTTCCGTGATGTCCGCCATCAGATCGTCTACTTTGTCTATGTCCCTGTGAAACACAAAGAGAGATGTGAGGATGTGTAAATGAATGCATGAATACAACATGTCCCAAAATAAACCAGTATAAAGTGGTGCAGGAATGAGTCCCAAGAGAGTGTGCATATCGCCACTTCTGGTTTGCTTGTCTTGTAGTCAATGGTTTTTAGAAAATATTTCTGGTTAAAAGCCAAAACAGGGTCTGCGTTCAACAAAACTTAGAAGAGTATATTGACTCCACGACATAAAATACCCCACTGGTGAACAGTGTTGGGCAAGTTACTTCCAAAATGTAATATATTACATATTACTTATTACTCTCTTTTGAAAGTAATAAGTTACATTACAATATTACTGTCTCTGAAATGTAATGAGTTACACTACTTTAGTTACTTTTTTAGTTACTTTCACCAAAATAACCGCAAAAGAATAGCTAGGTATTTTAAATGCTAAAATGTAGTTTAGTACAGCTCATTATGCATCCAGTGAAGGGCAATGTGGTATAGCATAACAACTGTGTAGGCCCTTAAGGCTACTAACAACTTGTATTACAGGGCTTAGTTGAATACTCGATTCTGATTGTAAATTCTTAACATGTGACACGTTGTTAATACAGCAGTACAGACCGCTGTCAAGGACTATAATGAAGGTTAACATATTGTAATCAAGGCAATATATTAAACCATGCTCNGTTTGTGTCGGCTGCCCTTAAAGGCAATGTGAGCGTCCATTCCCATTGGATAACGGAGAATTGTACACCCGGAAGTAAGTATTCCCCTTAGTGTCGATTGATTTTACAATGATATTTGCACTACTCATCGACTAAAAAACACCAGATTATCCTTGTTAATTACACAACATTGATTGGTTTAAATTGTGTGCAATGCTTTTGTATTTTTCCCCTTCGATTCGGAGAAACAAATATTTTTTCGGAGTAAAGGATGGCAGAAGACACTACACTGCCCAGAATCCCCAGCTATCGTTTAGGACTACAGGTTGTGCTCTGTTTGACAAAACCCGTTTTTTTTCACCATTCATTCCAATGGCTGGCGTCTATGTCACGTGATCTTCAAATTTCTCCCTGCAGAAAAAAAAAACATGGCCGAACTTCGTTTTATTCTCGGTGTAAAATGCCTATTTTAAAGTTAGTTTGGCCATTAAAATGCGTTTTGATGTCATTTGATGCGAGAAATATGAGTTGTTATTTCAGATTATGTGTGCAGTGGATGTACATGATCTTTAGTTTGCTAGTTATTACGAAGATTACTTCAGGAAATTGCGTCCATAGAACGTTTTCATTGTTACCAAGGTGGTTGCTAGGGACGCTGCTATCGATATTATTTCTGTTATGTTGTGTAACTGTTTAATGGTGTTATCTTTATTGCTACCCCCTTCCCCGTCAATGTTGGTCCGCAAACGCATTAGTTTAACAAAATCCGCATCTAAAGATACGTTATTTTCCCCTGTGCAATTCCAGTCCCACATCTCACATCGTCATTAACAAATAACGGAAACAGGCCGAAAACATTTAAAAAAAATAATAATAATACTTTATTCCGAGTGTGCTTGCTTTTCTCTTTGAAAGTCATCACATAACGGCATTGTAATACACGTTTCGGCTGCATTAAATATTACATATCTCCCGTAGTTCTCTATTTATAGAGCCCTGATGAGAAGACTTCTAGACAAACATGAGGAACTGCCGCCAACACTGAAAACGTGATGTGGATCATAAATATATCAGCAATTAAACAACATCTTATATTTCTTTTCACACAACACGTCTCCTCGCAGGATCAACACTAATTCGGCTGACTTTTATATTTGATCCAATTGGTAGATAGGCTGTATTTACACCACAAGGGTGCACAGCTGATAGAAAGGGATACCTGGTGGTTAAAGCATGTTATTGAATTTCATTATTTGTATTATTAAATATTAATAGGATCCCTACAGTATAAAGTATATTCATTACTCCTTATTCTCTACTAATAGTTAATTAAAGACTGTATATAGTGACTATTTTGCACATCCCTTTCAATATTTCAATATTTTCTAAGTTTTATTGACATATCATATTCACAAACGGTGCAATGAATGAAAAACTTGGGTCGCAGGTTCCTCAATAGTGCATTACAAGACATCTATCAATATTTGTGCATACCTCCAGCAATGTTAACTATGTTGAAGCACTTATTTTAACTGATATTATACATATGTATTATACTCTTGTAGAATGTATATAGATATTTAATCTCCGGCCTTGTCAGGTATTGAACAATCAATAAATAAAGAACACATAATTATTTGTGTTTTATATTTAATAATTATGTGTTCTTTATTTATTGATTGTTCAATACCTGACAAGGCCGGAGATTAAATATCTATATACATTCTACAAGAGTATAATACATATGTATAANGGGGAAGTTGAACGTTATGCAACCATTCAAAAAAGAGAACGTAGCGAAAAATACAAACAACAAATTGTGTCAGGTGCGCGTG